TCCACGTAATCGCCAAAGTTGGAGGTCCTACTTAGATGAGTCCATGGATAAATAACAAAGGGAGATTTGAGGCTCTTTAGCCTCACCCGAATTTTAGGAATTTTCTTATGGATCCACTATGGTGTGAGCCAACTCAGGCGTGTCTCAACTAGGCTAGTGATTTTTTCTAATCGCTGCACTTTCAGTTCTAATAAATGATACTTCCCAAGAGCTTCAAGGCTACAAGGCTACAAGGGGCATCCATCTAAGGGTTCTACCTTCCCCATTTCTATGTTCTGTAATAGCTGCTTTCCCCGTTTCTATTTTCTATAGTAGCTGAAACATTCAGCAAGATTCTAGAGATGGTCTTTAAGAGAGTTCTCGTAACATTCTTAAGCACTCTCAGGACAAACGTCCCATCTTTCATCTGCAATAAATGGAAGACAAATTTTTTCTGGGGGGGACTAAAGACAGACCGGGTTCTAAACTGGTATCTATTCTTATAGATATTTGAGATCACCTCTAGTCTTTGAGTGAATATGAAGAAAATCAAGTTTTATTGGAGTTGAAACCCTAGCAGACAAGGTCATATCTGTGGCCAGTTGCAATGGGTATGAGGTTGATAAGCTGCCTTGTGGGTATCTTGGATTGTGATGACCATAGGAAAGCTGGTGGAAGCTTTTTGGGAGTGAGGGGTCGATAGAGTTCAAAAGAAGTCGGATGTTTCAAAAACTAGTCGGATATATTTGGAGGTATGATTTCTTTTATCAAGTCAACCTTCTCTAAACTTGCCCACCTTTTCTATGATGATATTTTTTATTCCTGGGGAAGTAGCCAATATTATTAAACACCTAATGTAGAAATTACTAGGGACAGATGGCAGGGACAAACACAGTTTTGCCTTGTCAAATGGGCTACTTGTTGCATGCCCGAGAAATTTGGCAGTCTGGGAAAAGAAGAAAAAGGGACATGAATAAGGCCTTTATTTCGAAATGATGGTGGAGGTGTGCCACGGACAGGCAGCACCTTCTAAGAGAAGTCATTCTGGGAAACATGGGGCAGATGGCTTAGGATTGTTTGCCAAAAACCATAATAGGGCTCTAGGCTCTCTGGTTTCGTGGAGGGGTCAATAGATGCCACCAGGCGTTTTTGAGCAATGTGAGATTCCAGGTAGGAAGAGGGGATCTAGTCAGGTTTTGGCATGATAAGTGGCTTGGAGCACGACCTTTCATCAAGAATATCCCAAATTGTTTGTTGTGGCTGTGGAGCCAGACATCAAGGTTGCAGATGCTGTGGAAGGCCATGGCCTGAATGCAAATTGGACCATAAAACTCTGACATCAAAGACTTAAGGATCAGGAGAGGCCCCCATTAGACTCCAGAACCCTCTCAAGGCTTCTACTACTACCCCGATGATGAAGATAGTCATTCGCGAACCTGACGGAAAAAGGAATTTATCAGTGTGATTTATGTATAGGCTCTTTACCAGCATTGACAACCTCATCTCGGTGGTGAGCACTGCATGTGCTGTGACGGCACCACCCAAGAACCTGGCTTTCATGTGGCTGGCCTCAAGTGATGAAATCCTAACTATAGATCACCTCTAACTCAAAGGTCTGAATGTTTCAAGCATCTGCCCTATGTGTAGTGAGATGACTCTTACATTGTCATATTGCTACTTCTCTTTGCTCCTCCAGTTGAGGTATATTCAGCCTGGAGTGGGTCCTGCTGCCATCATTTCGCGATATGATAGACCAATGGACTTGCCATCTCTCCCCTAGGTCGCCTGCAGACTCAATACCTTTGCTATTTCAGTAGATTGTATGGTGGGAAATAAACAGTGGGCTAGGTTTGGTTCAACACTTTGGAGACTCAACATCTTCGTTATTCCGGTGGGAAAGAAAAGGGCTTTCAATGATAAAAGGTTTGATTTGAAGAGTTAAAAAGGAATGCTTACAACCATATCATTTCATGGGCAAAGGTTTTGAGGGAATTCCTAATCGTTACAGCATAAGTGAATTATGGGCCCATTGAAGGCATTATTAGGATTGGTCACACAGGAGAGTGCAGAATCTAGTAAATGGATTTAAACCTCGCACTGAACACCCTCAATCTCAACATGGATAGCAGCTCCAGGGGCAACCCTGGCACTGCTGGGATTGGTTGATTAAACGAGACATCTTAGCAAGGACCATTTTACTTTACTGTGAGGCAGAAGCAGGATCATCACTACAAGGCCTCAGGTTAAGAAACATGGTGGTCACATTTATTATTGAGGGTGACTTGTCCAATGCAATTGTGTGGGGATGTGGCAGAGAAACATCTCCATTATGACTTGGCAATATGTTCGACAAAATTGGGCACCACAATCATTTATTATTGAGTTCTTGAGTTTTCCATTCTCTTACACAGAGATCGGCCAACAAGGCGGGCAAGCCGTACATGCATAGGCATAAGCTGATGGATTGTGACGGATGTCAATGAAAATGACTGAATGAACGCTATAGATTTGTCATCTGGATTTCTTTAATCATACATTTAAAAAGAAAGTGAACTTTAAGCTATGAAAAAAATTCATCTTGCACCTTTTTTAAGACCATTGCAATGCTTCAGAAATCTATAGATATGCATTGTATTTGGAGTTCCAGTTATGGATCTGAGGTAAAGACAAATTTGTGGAGATTTTTCTTTAAAAATTTTTTTTTTTTGCAGAGATTTGGGGTGTGTTTCAAGTCCTATATCAGGCAAAAGCAAAAGATAATGCACGCATGGCGTGAAAAACTTTTCCTTACCATCCGGATGCCAATGAGAGTTCCATCCAAGGTTAAAATGATAGGATTGCTCTATGAAAATAGCGTTTGTTGTTTTGCG